AAACCTGGCAGGATTTTCAAAAAAAAGGAAAAAACACTAGTCAGGCCTTGCTGCCAGCGGGACAGGCAGACAGTGGGGTGAGTCCGTTCGAGTGGGAGCATCAACTGGGAAGGGAAGGTTTGAGTGTGTTGAGACTGTATTTGTGTGCATGTAATCAGATCTGGTTAAAAACAACAACAACAACAACAACCATGATCATCTTAATTGTTTGCATGCAACTGAGTATAACATTAGGGTCCTATGAGGGGGGAGGGTGGGCAGACAAGTCCCATTGTCTGCACTGTGCAACATGTAACCCCCACAGACATGATGCCGAAGGGAGTGGGGGTGGGTTGTCAGTAGATTAACTACTGCAACGGGACGGAGTAGCAGCTGGCATGGGTAACTTCACCCAAAAGTACCCAGGGATACTGAATAGGCTGCAGGGTGAAAGAGGGAATGGATGATGGCTCTTTCATACAGTAGACCTTTAATATCATATGGATGCACTGGATTCACATTCTTTAAAAAGGACTGCCGGTCTGTCACAGGTTATCTTTACTTTCCTCTTATATCTGCTGCTGTAGTCCCTTACATACATTACATACTGTAAATACAAAAATAATTCATCAGATTCAGGTCATGCTTGCTTTTGCTCACTTGCTCTCACTTTTAGATCAGTGAAGGCAGTTAAATGTTTAATTTATACCAACAATGCTATGGCTAATAGTTTTGTTCACAAAAGTTAATTAATGTCAAAACTGTTTAACATCACTTATAAGAGGAGAAATTAGTTAAAAAAAAATAAATTTAAAAAAAAGGCTGCAGAAGGATTGCTAGACGTGGATGGAAAACAAAGGCAGGGATGGAGTTGAAGAATGAAGCCATGGCTATAAAATAGATTTAGACCAGGCATACTGGCGTAGAACACTAATACCAGTGCCCTCCCAGGGACCTTTGTCCCATGTCATCTCCCACTTTTTCCATATTTCTTCTTGCTTTCCACTGACAAATAGCTTGTGAAATTGGAAGGAGGGGGCGGGAGAAGACTGTGCCTGCATGAGAAAAATAGAAACACTACCTCTTATTCACATCTTTTCATTATTTTTAGTAATTGGAATTGAACATAAAGAGACAGATTAAGCAATTCAATGAAGGATGGTTGGCTGTAGAGAAGACAGATGACATCAGTTTTGTCATTTTAAAGCCAGCCATCGACTACTCTCCTGAACACTAGCCAACCGGCGATACGCAGGCAGATAGTCAATACAGTGCTGAGAGCCCAAGGGCCAGATCAGTTACAGGCCTCTGACTGGGCAGGGTGAGCTGAGGCCAGATGGACAGTGATCCCACACCTCCCCTGCCTGCTTCACTGACAACCATCCAAACCCACAGCCACACCCCTGAACGGTGTGAAACATACACACAAACCAATTACAGAGCACGCAGGACTGACTTTCTCATGCACATAAAAAGAAGCAGAGCAAAGGATGATAACAGGATATGCCCAGCCTGCTCAACACAAACATACACACACCCTTATAGCAGCTGCACTTTGATTCACCTCAGACAGCCTTGGATCGATAACTAAATAGATCAAAATATACAGCATTACCTCAGCAGAGGCAGCTGCTACACATGGGAAAGAGGGACACGTGAAGACAGCATCATAATCATCCAATATCAAATGTCTAATCAAATGTACTAGTTTAGCTACATACACAGGTATAATGCAAATATAGCAGCAATTCTTTTACAATGTGCACAACGTCTACCACTGAAAACACGCACAACCCAGCAAGATCTGTCTTTGGGGAGGGGATTCAAGGCTACCAAAGTGAACTTACAGACTATGAAAGTGCTGAATTACTCTTTCAATAATTACAGTGCACTGAGCCCAGCTTCACAGTCCTAGACAGACTGAGTGCCTAAAAAAATGCAGCGCCAGCGTCCACCACTTTATCCTAATGGGCAGGAGAGTGCCAGCCTCCAAACCACAGAGATGAGAGTTACAGCACTACTGTCGTACCATCCCATAGCTGAACAGCCAAGAGCAACACAGGAGATACACAACAAACTTTAAGGGTGAATGATAAAATATAGTTTAACCCCAGATGTCATCCTAAACAGATGCAGGAAAGCAGGCAGGGATTTAATTTCTATGGGTGTGGGACTGAGACTGACACTGGTTGCAGGCTGTAAAAGCAGCTGACTTCCAAGAAGATGCAAATGCCCTGCCCTGTACAGTGCTTGTTCTTTCCAGTCAGCTGTCCAGATTGTCGAACGAGTTCTTATACAAGGGACAGGCTAAAAAGTGCCAACGTCCTTGTGGTACAAATGATAGCCCTTGTAGATAAAAAAATTCAGCACTATATCTGCTAGACAGAGATTCACAAAACCAAACTAGAGCTGAAACAATTTAAAGAAATTTGTTTTATTGCTTCTCAGATGTGAGTTTAGCTTTAAAATCTGCATTATAATGACCATAAAAATACCAAAAAGACTGATGCCTGTCGATACGGCAGAGAGTTATTTGGTACGTACATTCTGTTCTCACACTGTGGGATCGTGGGGGAGAAAGATTTGAACCCTTGACCCACGACATCCACAACCATCATAACCTCTCACAGCTGTTGCACTGATGCACATGAGCCAACGCTAAGCTGAATAAATAGCACAAATCATCAGCCCTAAGATGCATTAATCCAACAGTATATCACACCATTTGACAGGGAGAAGCTGACACTACAGACAGTAGATGACTTGCTTTTGTTCACATGCCTCAGATGGAAATAAACTTTTGGCTGGCTAAGGTTGCTGAAATCTGACACAGATCAGCTTAAAAAAGGAAGCTTTTGAGTAATGGAGCAGAAAGTATTCAGGGAATCGAAGGTATTTCAGTGAAGACACAGAACAGGTATTTTACTCACTCTGTCACACAGCAGGTCTGATTAGTTTCTCAGTGTGTGGTATCCATTTTAAACAGTCACACTACTGCAAATGTTACAATTTCAACCATCCGCATTTCTTTTAGACCACCATGCCTAAAATATACAACAACAACTGCAGCCACACCATTAGGCGCCACAGACCTGCCTGGGTCATAAAAGTAGGCATTTTGAAGTACATACCAAAGCTGAAAGAGGCAACATACAATGAACTTGAACTTGTAGCAACGCTGCACCAACAGATGAAACAAAATGAATAAATTTTTTTGATTTAGTAAACACAATCTCATTATTAAACCTCTTGATTAAACATTAAACTAAATATATTCAACTTTAAGATGTGTGACATGGAATTTATTTTCTGTACTATACGTATGACCACTTTCTTTGAATAAAGCTTGCAGATTCCTCCACCTTAACCAATCCCTTGAGCCCTCCCAAGGTTATTGGATGCACTGAAACAAGAGAACCATTTTAAGCTCCTCTTCTGGTTTGCTTTGGCCTACAGGAAGAGGAAAGGGAAACAGAGGTGTGGACAGTGGATGTGGCTGCGCAGAATCAAAACACAGGCTGTGCCCAAAGTTCAGAGGCTAGATGTGTACAAAATAAAAATACAAGTTATAGACTTTAAGACTATTGACAAGTGCATGCTGGATTGTGGGATACAGAGGGACACAATACACACAGGTGAGTCCTTCAAATTCAATTCAGGCTAAACAAGACTGCATCATCAGTGACCCTGCAATACGCTCTTGGAGCTCAGCCAAAAGCACAGGAAAGGTGTGAGGGAGAGAACAACCATGCAAGTGTGTCATTCACACTTGGTTTCACACCCCGGTGACAATAAACTCCCCAGTAACAGCTCACACTCTTTGGCAGCAGTGAGTGTCTGCATGTCAAATACCGTTTTGAAGCCAAGGAGAGTGTCACTGCTCCCACGCCCGAACCCTGCCCACCACACCCACACGGCTTAAACAAACTGATTATGTAATGTAGACTCTGAGCCAAAACAGCATCCCTCTATCACTGAGATCTGCAGACGATGCCGGCCGATAGTCTGCCTCTGAGCTCACTGTGCTCCTCCTTTTTCTCATGTCGATGTGCCAAGTCAAGAATGAGATCACTCCATGTGCAGAGATGCAAATATGAAAACAGAGATGATGCTTGGTTATCTAGGGCGAGAAACAACTGAGAAGGCATTGAAGGACGTGGGTGTGGAGGTAAATAATTCAAGGTGCAAAGCTAGCTTCTTCATTATCCAACAATATATCAGTGATGTATGACATGCTGCAGAAATATCAAATGATAAAAGACAACACATCCTCATGACCCCAAATGAACTGAAAACCCAGATTAGATCAGCAGAAGTTCATACAAACACAAATCAAGACACTTGTGTATTTTATTCCCCCCTTCCACCAGTGTCTTAATATCATTACACTGTGCCTCGTGTTGTTCAGGGCCCCTGTCAATGGACCCTAGGTGGTCCCAGGACCTCACTTTTGGAGCCATTGTTTTGGGGAGTTTCTGTGTGTTTTTTCAAGCCTCAAGTGGAGCTTTAATAATAGCATTTGTCTCTGGGAACAAACAGGCTGAATTCTCCCAGGTTTAGCGAAAGGCCCACTTTAGCCTCACAGAACAATAGCGGTGTACGCTGGGGCAGCATGCCGAGAGAAACACATGAGGCCAGTCAATAAATTGAACCTGATACAACCGAAGACCGTGCCAGCTGAGTCTCGTAGCACTGTACACCCAAATACACGGCGTTGTGAGAGTAAAAAAAACAACAACAACACACACAACGTTAAAAACCACCGCCCCATCGTCTCGTACCATGCTAGCGCTCACACTTCATCATCACATCCAGACACAAACAGACGGCTTCAAAACAAAATCACGTTTGGCTCGTTTTTAAAAAGACACGAACAAAATAAATAAATAAATAAAAAAGAGGGCGAGCTTCCCTTCGTGATGCAGCATTTTTCAGTACTTTACGGTAATAAAAATAATACAAAGAAACGAGAAGGTGATGCAGCATAAGTTAAATAATGTCGCTCGCGCTGGAGACGTTACCTTCCAACCGCCGACTCCGTTCTGGAAGCCTCCTGGAGAAACCAACGGTCCTCCCTCGCGGTCCAGCACTGAGGTCAAATATAAAAGAAATAAATGAACTCGATATGTCGACGGAGCCGTAAATCTCACAGCACTTAACAATGGAGCCGCGCAGTCAGCTGCGAGCGTCTCTCTCTGCGTCCTTCCCCTCCACGTTTGAGCGGCGGCTGGCGGCGGCAGGCTTCATGAAAGATGGACCGAGGGCGGGCGGGGGGGCGGGGGGGGAGTGACGGAGAAACGTGGTGGTCATAAAAGAAAATGCAGATTAAATCCCGCGAGCGGTCCAATCAAACGCGCGAGACCGGTGGTTATGCAAAGCAGTAGTGACGTCAAATTCAAACCAGAGCTCGAGCTCTTGTTCTGTGGCGCGAGGAGGAGGAAGGTCGGGGGGGGGGTCGCAAACTGAGGAGGGGTTGAGAGGAAAGAGAGAGGAGCACCTTCATTTAATTGTTTTTATATAATAATAATAATAATAATAATAATAATATTTGCTTATTGTAGCTTGTTTATTAATTCCAGTGGGATAAACAAAAAAGTTTAAAAGAAAATTAAAACATAAATCTTTGAAGCAGCAAAGGCAGAGACATCCGGTTGTTTGACCCTCTATGCCCTTTCCTTCCATACTCCTACCCCCCCTCACTTTGTAACATATACATTTTTAATGTCAGAGCCGGAGCTGATTTGACCCTTTAACCTTTTTCTGTGTCAGTCTCCAGAAGACAACATAACAGTACAACAGTTTAACTAGTCTGCGTGCATGTGATCCTGCAGTTCTACCGGTCATATTCAACAACGAGCACATCTCAAATGTGGGTGTGGCATTATGCATTATGTGCTTTTGCCATTTTATATTTTCATCTACTTTTAATATTATTTTATTGCCCTTGCGTTTTATAGTTAGTGTAGTTTTGGTTTTTTTGTTTTTTTTGGGGGGGGGGGGCTGCTTGTATTTGCTGCATTATTTTTTCCACCTACTTTGTAACTATGTTAAAGTTTATTGTTTTTGCTTGGCTGCTATGACCATACAAGATCAGGAGTATTTTAATTTGTGGACTTTTTTTTATCTGTGCAGTGAGGTTTCAGCGGGGGTAGATCTAGAGGGGTGGCAGCTGCCATCCCTTAAAAATGCCTGCAGTTTTTAATTTATTGATTTTTAATGCCACCTCTAGATATTTCTAATCACTGCTTTACTGATGTGCAATGTAATGTTTTGAATAAAAATATAATATCACATAATAATATGTGTGATTGTTTGTGATTAAATTAGCATATATTCCTGCCACCTCTTAAAGTCTTACCCTATGAATAATAATGGGTGTTTCTCTAGATCCGCCCCCGGGTTTCAGTGTTTCCGCTGTTGCATGCTGTATAGGTCACGTGTGTGATTCTCTCTCAATCTGTACCAGCTGACAAAATTAGCCGGAAGAGAAATGCAATATCATCAAAGAGGGATTCCCAAGAATCTCTATTTGGGGTTGTAGGCATGAAAAGTTCAGGAGCTGTAGCTCCAATAGAGCACTGACACTCTCCACATACACTCCTTGCCCCTTTTCTTCCACCCCCATGTTTACTCTCTGTGCTTAAAATGAAATTTGAGACACCAGGTTGCATGAGTAGGCTAATATTCTTTCTTCTCTCCACAAACACACACACACACACACACACACACACCACACACACACACACACACACACACACACACACACACACACACACACACACACACACACACACACACACACACAAAGGGGTTTCTGTTTCCTAAAATTCAGATAGTTCGGGGTTTGCCTGAATAAAACAGATTGTTTCAGAATGAAGAAAGTTTCTCTAAAATGTTCATTTTCTGCATTAGTGTCCACTTCCCTATGGTACAAGCCCACAATAGCTGCGAGCTTTTTTTTTAAATGTTGAGCTGCAGCTGCAAGCTCCACAATAGAAATCAATGAAAAGGGAGAAGACATACAAAGACTATTGCAACTCACAGAGAGAGAAAGAGTGAATGGGTCGAGACATCTGACATTAACTTTTGTTTTCTCCCCCCAAAAAAAGGAAAACTCAGAGAGGAAGAATGGAGACATTTAAAAGAAAAACCTTGGGGCAAAAAGAAATGAGTGAAGGGAGGAATGAAGGTTTACCAGAAATCATCAACCACTGACTCGTCAGCGCTCACATTCTCAATGTGCCTCATGAAGAGTGTGTGAGTCAAATCGAAGCTCTGCCTCTCCATCCCTGCTCTTTACAGGACTCTGGCAGCTGTTTCATCAGCAGCCTGTCAGCCTTTCCAGCCCGCGAGAGGCCCTGAGCCAGAGCGAGGGGGCGAAACCCAAACTCTCCCTAAAGTTTCACTAATCCCGCAGCTCAAACTCATTTTACTATGCAGTTTGAATTGTATCAATTGTATTATTTAAAAACAAGTTTAAAACATATTTGCACATATTGGTATGTCAGTAAACCATTTCAGGCTCCTTCTTTTTAGAACATCCATCCATCATTTTATCACTATAGAGCTGAAAAAGCTACTAAATCCCCCTCACATCCTGCCCATCCATTTCAGATTGCTCCATAATGTTGTTACACAAGGGTGTGGCTCAGCACTCCTCTCTGGTAGAAATCCTTAACAGAATTAGGATAGACTGATAATCTACAAGGCTTTTATACATGGGACTTAGTTTCTTTTAGATCAGTTTCTTTGGTGTGGTCTGGTCACCCATCTGCCCAAACACCTCGTAGCTGAGGCAGCTGCACACACTGCCTGTGGCACAAAAACACACAAAAACATAAAACTCAGGCGGCCGCAGATTGAGTGACTCATTATATAAGATATAAGACAGGAAAAGGAAACTGCTGCTGCTGCTGCTGCAGGTCTGCATTTTGATCGGAGGTGCTTTGTTAATATAAAAGGCCCTGAACTTCAAACAACGAGTCACAAGTGGATGAAGCACATTTCAGTTCAAGCAGAGATCAAACTGGCATCAACAAAAGGACCACACCCACACATCAGTGCACTGAAACTACAACTGAGAGACCATTAGCAGCTTCTGGAGCAATTTACCTTTGGGCTTTTAGTGTGCAACAAATGCACTGAGTGAAAGTAGTCCCACATATGCACAAATCATGTGGGAAAAAACACAGACCTCTGTTCTAGGAAAATGAATGAAACCTTTCTATGAGCTGCATTCAACTAAGAATTCTACTTTTCCTTCCCTCTCTCTCAATCTGACATGAACCATCAAGGCACTGTCAGAGCAGTACATAATGTATGATGATATTAGGTTAAGTGGATGGAAGGCAAAGATGTGCTACATCAGATGCCAGAGCACGCTTGGGAAGTTCAATAACCAGGAAATGAGCTCATCATATCGGACTGTTCTGAAAAAAAAAGACCCAGAATTTTAACTTCCCCTCTGTGCTTTGTGCTGCAGCGTCTCAACTGAAACATGCAGGGAGTTCACAACAGCTGTGTTTGACTGTGTTAGATTCAAGGATTTATTGACAAAATAATCAAGAATCATAGTTTCTTTTAAATCCTCCCTGTACACTTCTCATCTGCCAACAAAGCAGGAAAAATAAACTTGTAGACCTTCACAGTTCCATGAGTCCGTATCCAGACACATGAACAACTTGCTCCCTCTTCTGATAATCCAGAGGAACTGCACACAAAATGGATCTCAGATTAAAACCACAATAGAAAATAAAATAAAACTGCAGGTTTTTATATCAAAGATCATCCAGGAAACTTTAATCAGTAGACTCGCAAGTAGATTACTTCAGATGATTTATGACTCACATTTGTATTTTTTGAGTATAGTACAGTGCAGATCATATACAAAAAGATACCTAGAAGATGTATGAAAGGTACATCTAGGTAATACTAGACAATATATACATGTATGTCATGGTTTAAAATTAAGGCAACGGATACATTTGGCAGGTCTGCCATCAAGATCCAAATCCCATCAGCATATTCAGCTTAAATGTGACTGCTGGTCATCGTATTAAACCACAGCTGCTTGGACTAAAGATCATCTCTCCACAAAAGACAGAAATTTCCTAACACCCTCTGGAGTCCAGACTGTGAGACTCCTTTAACTATTGTGCGTTTTATGCGGTGCAAAAAAAGACAAATTCAAGATCCAGTCACTGTGCTAGTTTTAGACGTTTTAAACGATTGTTATGAAGACAACAAACAGCCTAAAAAGCACTATGATTCAGTATGACAGGACATTATTACTGAGCTACACATATGTTTCTGCTGTCACTAAGTTGTCTTCTTGTTATCCACCATAAACCTTGCTCCACTTTGTAAGGCAATTCAAGTCATTTTTTTCTCTTCAAACAAGTCAGATACAGTTTGTAGACTGCCATCGTTGTTCTATAGAGATAAAGAAAGGGAATAACGGCTTTAACCTCTTAACAACGAATGAACTCTGTTTCTTGACATACTTTGGCATCATTAACAAAACATGCATATGGGACTGCAGAACAGCTTTACTTCTTGTAGCTAACCACAGGCAATGTTGAGTGCTTCATTACTGACATTATATTCCATCATCATCATCTCAGATCGATGCAACAGAGCACACAGTCTACAACTGCAACCAAGTGCAGCAATAAAAACACAATTATAGTATCCACATTTGGAGGCAATGTGATTCTTGTGCAGTGGAACCGCAGCCAAAGATGCTGTTTGAAACTTTATACTGGAGGTGCAGCTCCTGGAGAGAAAACAAATCAATTTGTGGTCCTGTTTTCTGATATTTTTCTGGAAGCCGTCCCGATTGTCTAAAAAAGGACAGACTAATATAAGATGCATTTCCCTCATTCTCTATGAATTTACATGCCCCATTGGGAAATTATATTATAGAGTGTATGGGACGTTATGCTATTTCAAAATAATGAGTAGTTGGGTTGTTGGATTTGTTTTGTTTAAATGCCTCAATTTAAGAGCAAAGTCATCCAGAGGTAACCAATTCTGAAATACTATAAAACACAAACACAAAAATAAAAACAGTCAGCACCATGTATGCACTATTGCAGTCCTCATCATGGCACCTGTATCCACATAGTATACTGACAATAGGGTCCTGTTCCTGGCTTAAATACAAAAGAAAAACCAACAGAGAAAGGTCAGTGCATTCATCATCCATGATGCTGCAGAGTCCTGTTCATACAGAGGAAGGGTCCAGTCCTGCATCAGCCTGCAGTTTTCTTCTTCATGGAGTCGTGGACAGGAAAAATAAGAGGTCCGATAAGAAGAGAGATTCTACAGAGTGCTGGTCCAGCAGACGGTGCCTCCTCCTTCACACGAGTGCTGAGGTTTGACCCAGATACAGTACGTTGGTACAGAGACACTGAGAGTCAGTGTGCAGCAATATCCCTGTGGTCAGCAGGGGAGGATAGCTAGGTCACTGGGGTTAGCTTCAGTTCACCAGCAGGACATCCTCATATGTCGTCGTTCTGGGGGCAATAACAGGAAGATGGCTCATGTAATGATTTTCTATAGTCATTATATTTTACATCATCATCGGATATTCTATCGGAGTCGCAAAATAGTGGTATTAAGTAAAAACATAATTTAAAAAATATGTTTGAAAATTATTTTTTAAAATAGAATATTTTTTTTAAATCTCATCGTCACTGTGCTCACTCTACCTCTAAATATATTATTACATAAGGTCAAACGGCAAACTAATTCCCAACCAGGCTACTTGTACAGCAGATGGTACTTGTGCTGTTTCCAGGGGGTACGTGGAGAAATTGATATACCCAGGTAGCTTCTTTCCTTTGCTGCTACGATCTGTTATTAATTAACCCTGCTGACGTGTTGCCTAAATACACAATAATTATTTTGTCCTCATCAATCGATCATCAGAGAGATGACTGTCTCACCTGTCACAGCAGCAGAAGAAGGAGCACGGTGAGGTCTCCAGACCCCTGAACTTCCCTGAGTTAGGTGCGTCCGTACACTCTGCTATGAAGGCGTGCAGGTCTGTGATATGGAAGGGTTCTTGGGTTTGGTGCTGTGGAAATCAACAAGTATTTATTACCACAATCTTCCTTTTTCTATTGACACCATTCTCGCAGTCAGAAAAACAGAAAAGAGAACCTGGTTTAAGTCAACGTCATTTCCTACCTTGATGGTCTCGTAAGCTCCTGTGATGAGAGCGATAAACAGCGACAGCACCATGTAGATGAAGAGGGAGATGAAGGTGTACAGGTAAACTTGGCTAAACAGCCACACCAGAGTGCTGCTTTCCTGCATCTCCGAGAATGTCACGAACATGTCGTCACCATTAATGAGGGAGAACAGGCACTCTGACACCATGGACAGAGAGCGGAACTGGGGGAGAGAAAACAGCAATCAAACATCTGCAAACGTTAAGAAATTAGGGTGAATTTAGTTAGTTTATACAGTAAGTAAAGCCTTAAGTTACAGGAAACAATGTTTCACAAATGACGGCAAGAGTTGACTTCTAAAAACGGATCAAATGGAAGAAATCTGACTTCAGGAATTTGCTCAGAAGTTGGGGAAGAGAGGGACAACAGTATGCGTCCAGTTCTCTGTGGTTAACTCTAAAGTTTCACTGAGTCACTTCCTGTAGAGAAATGTCTACAAAGACACCAGATTTTCATATGGGGGTGGGGTGGCCAGAAACATGACTCCAAATGAACAATAATATTGCTCCGTAACTTCTGGACGTGTAAATAAGCAACTCAAAAAAGTGACAGTATGTCCCCAAGTTGCCACAATAACACATTATTGTAGTGTTTTTACTGGACCAAATGATCACATCTGTGTCTACAAGAGTTTCAGTTTTGTTAACCTTGACGTGGTATGGTCCCAGCACTATCCAGCCACAGAAGCAGTAGCCCAGATAGATGACGGCCACGCAGCAGCAGAACCGAATCACATTAGGGAACGCTGCACGAAGTGTCACAATCAGGATCTATGGCACAGAGGCACAGAGGCACAGAGACATGAGACAGATCAAATTACAATGTCAGAGAGAGCAAAGTGACTAGATTAACAGGATTCATTACATTACATCAATCCATTAAGAGGAGCATTTTCTCACCTCTAGACAAGTTATTAAATCAACAGCAGCTGATGGACACCAGTGTATCTGTGACTTACATTGTACTTCTGGAAGAACGTGAGGTAGCGAATAACTCCGACCCACACCAAGAGTGTGGAGGTTCCCAACAGGATGCCACACGTGTCATACGAGGACATATTCTGTCAGGAGAGAAGAAAAGACACTTTGGATACAGGCAGCGTAATTTCCCAATGAACACACAGCATGACAGTCGGCGTGTTGGCGATTTTTTCAACAATGACTTACAACAGTGTTCACAGTGCTTGGCTAAAGGCTTGTTGAGTTCAGTGCAACTAACCACAAGAGAATCTATAGACACACCTTCGACTCGATGCCGATTTTGATGATACTGCCAGTGATGGTGAAGATGTCGCTGACGATAAGGAGGATATACCAGCCATTAATGAACTCCAGCCGGTCTGCCCAGCACACTTTACGGTCCAGAGTCTCCCTGAAGAACTGCACAAACTCCTGATAAACACACAGAGACAGAGCCATTACATTCAGTTCATATATAATAAATCCACACATTAAAATGATAATACCCTGAGTATGCTTACTATTATTATTATTATCACAAATTTTTAGACTTTTAAGTAACCTTTTCCCTCGAGTCTGGCTTCCCGTACCTGTTGCAGCATGATGCCTCGCAGTATGGAGCGCCCACACAGCAGCAGTGACAGCATGCACACCAGAGCCACAGCCACATCAAAAGCTACACGTGTGTAGTTCTCAGCTGGAAGTAAAAGGGAGAAAGCAGAGCAGTTAGCAGCACCTCTGCTAGTTTGCTACAAGTAAGTGTCATCTTTCCTTTGCATACTACTCCTGCAGTATTTCTGTGACTGATATGAGTCTTAAATTACTCAATGATCTGTCCTCTTTTCAAGATCCACTCATCTGGTGTCTCACCATGTCCAGAGACACTCGGGTCTTTACACTCCTTTATGGTTGCCTGGTTTTCTAACCGGATCTTCACCTTGCCGCTGTGAGCCTTGTTGTCCAGGACTATCTGGAGGAGAGGGACCAACAAAAGATGATTTATACTTTTTGTTTTTGTTCAGTGATGAACAGTGCCGCAGCTACTACTGAGAGCACAGAAGTCATTAACTCTATTTTTCTTCTTTCTTTCTTTCTTTCTTTCTTTCTTTCTTTCTTTCTTTCTTTCTTTCTTTCTTCCTTCTTCTATTAATTTGAAGGGTTTAATGACACAAAGAGGAGGTTACATTATGCAATTACAGAAATTGTTTGATTAAATATTTTAAAGTTTGACTGTTTTTATAAACCAAACCCATATATGAATTAGTGTTTTCCACCATAAACCATGGACAAACCAAATTTAATAAAAAATACAATCCAGTGCACATCACTACCTCTGGATATCTATAATAATTCATATGAGTATGAGCTCTTCAGCAGTGCTGGGAATTGAACCATCAACACCTTGAGAACAAGGCAGCCTCTCTAATCCTCCATTATCTCTGGATCAAACATGCATATGTCTTTGCCTTTGCTCACCGTTATGTGAAAAGTGTAGCAGTCCGGGATCTCATTGTTGATTATAGTCTGAATATTGATCGCCTTTAACTGGAACTCTATAGTGACGTTAATGAACCTTGAAAAAAAAAAAATAATTATGTAATTAAGAGGGAAACAGAACAGACAACAATTTTATGTTGTTACAATGACTGACTTGCATACCTGTGAGAGAGAGAGAGAGCGGAGAGAGAGAGAGAGTGTGTGTGTGTGTGTGTGTGTGTGTGTGTGTGTGTGTGTGTGTGTGTGTGTGTGTGTGTGTGTGTGTGCGCGTGAGAGAGTGTGTGAGTGTGTGTGTGTGTGGGTGTGTGTGTACAGAAGCCTGTGTTAGTGCTCTTCAATACATTTGCAGCAGAGATAAAGGACTTGTTCAATGACATCATCAGATACTACAGAGATAAATCTCACCAATGGACTCCGAAGCCGAAGCCAAGTGAAAAATGAAGCCTTACTTGTGGAACTTGAGGGTGAAGTTCTTGTAGCTGTTGGTGAGCAGAGCTGGAGGGACGGACAGCGGATTCACACCTATACAGTCTGAAAATGGCGGAGAGCAGACAGGGTACAATTGTGATCAGAGAGGGGAAAGACTGAATTTCCCATTTCTGGGATTTTGCTGTTCCTCTCTATATAGTGAGTACAACATCAAACAAAACACGTCTGAGAAATCTTTTCAGAATTATTAGAAGTAGCAGATCACAAATAAACATCTGACATACGTGTGATAGGAGATGAAGAAAGATTCAAACATGAGGTTGTTTCCATTGTTTTTAGTTCCTCTTAATTTTGCCAAATCTGACTCAAAAACAGTGATATGAGGAAGTAAGAAATTCTGAAGGTATGCAACACCCTCTCTCACCGGATTTGTGCATATGGCATATAAATAAGGGAACATGTACAAAAATGCTGGTGACAAAGGGTCACCCTCCCATTAAACATTTACAGTATATAATAAAACATATCCATATCCATATATAAAATTGTATTTATTACAACTGTGTTTTACTATATTATCATTTGTTAGCTGTTAAATTATAGTTGTCTGTGCACAACTATATTATAGTGTATTATAAATCATTCATTAAATGTTTATAGCTTGTTATAAATCAAAGACTATAAAAATGACAGCACCTCAATAACAATAATAATAATAATAATAATAACAACTGGAGTGTCCTTTTTTTAGTTTTGACAATCACAGGACAAAAAGATATGAAAATACAGGATGCTGGATTACAAAAAACAGCAAGTCTACACACTAATAATAATAATAATAATAATAATAATAATAATAATAATAATAACACCATACACATTACGCAGTGACAATAAAATAAGAAAACAATGCAATTATTACGAGATATGTATATGACGGTATATTTTCACCTCATAATTTCAGTAAAATGTGATATGAAAGCCAAAACAAGTCTCTGAGATTCTTCTTTTCTGGGGTTACAGTTATTTTTTATTTAGTTTTTAGACAAGCCTTTGTTGCACTTGTTAGAAGACACTCCAGCTCTGGTAGCGACTCTTGTTAGAGCCAGTGTGCATCCTAAAACACTCCTCTAACTCAGAGGTTTCCTTTTGAAGTGATTAAAGAGGATGCTTGTGTTGCTCCCTCAGGCACACAACTGTCACCTTGGATAGTCTGCATATAATTGTACTCTGCTTGACCTCTGACTTTTAAAAAACATAATATATGCAAACTATGCATGAAGCAAGATTGTTCCTTACTGTGGTCTGCCTCTCCAGCACTATACTTTTTCAGTTGTTTTATTGTAAAAGGGAAGTGTGCACTTGTGTTATTTGGTGACTTTGAGTGAGTTATCAGCTGCTCTGCTTATCATGCAGTAGCACGAAATCCATTAAATGTGAAAATGTTTTTTTCACAGAACATCCTTTTCGCACAGTTAGTAAAATAACAGGCCATCAATATCTCTTCCACATTGTACAGTGTAGTTCATGTACCTGTGATGACACGAGGGTCTATACTGAAGGTGTCATTGGCTGGGTCGATGCGTCCCTTCTTGTAGTACTGTTGACAGAGGGAGAGCGCACTGCCATTCACACCAACACCATAGACGTATGCGTAGCGTCCCACTGTGGTCTCTGGTAAGGCCAGATACTGGGGGAGAGTATGAGAGAATAATAAGTGAGTTAAAAATGTTAAGAAAAACTTAAACAAACAATGTGCATATATCTTACATAAATGTGCAGACACAAGAGGAAAAAGGAGAGACAGGAGGGAAATAACCAAAGTTGTTTAAACCAGAGAGAAAGGTCATAGTTCAGTCAGCGGCTGAGCTAAATACAGATCTAGATGACAGAAGATAGAAGACAAACTCACTATCTTCTATGGTGTGACTCCTACAAACTTCTCACTGTCTACTGACTCAAATATCTAATCTAGTGTACTGATGGAGGGCCTCGCTGAGCTACTCAGTCAGTGATCTTGTTGGGATTTAACCGAGAAGGGTGCCTAGCGCCGAGCACAGGCAGCCACACACGCGGTGAAACTCCGCAACGGGCGGGGCTGCTCCCGCTCTCTCTCACACACAGAGTGGAAGAAAGAAACAGCAAGAGTTGACAATGGCTGCACTGTGCATGAAAAGCTGTGAGTATAACAGCTGTCTGACAGCTGATGTAAAACAAACAATCGGATCAATATAATTAAGCTCAATATAGCAGATACAGATCAGTTTAAAAATCGATTGTTGAGATTGGTTTGGCGCCATCCCTAACAATAACATTGTTCATAAATACCCCAACAAGTCTTGAAGTAGAATGATTTATTTTATATTAAACAAATCAACATAAATTGTTCTGTTATGAAAGAAAACGCAGTTTGTGTTACAGTTATAATGTAATAATGATTCACCTTTCTTCATCAAACCCAACCAACAATTAGATCACTACTTTAATTCCTGTATTGAAGCAGCTTTCCCATTGTCCTCAAAGGTTTACCTGTTCCACGGCGTAGAAGATGTGGTCGTACACGTCGTTCTGTGTGTAAACAGCAAATGAGTCGTCTGAGGACTCATCGTAGTCTTTGAGGAAGAGGTGCTTGAAGGTCATAGTGTTCTCCTCCTTGAAGGTGACCACCACCTGGTTACTGAGGCCAAACAGGACTAACTGCAGCAAAGATGAAAATAATTTATGTAGGTAGACATTTATTTTTCAAAGACACACATGTAAATAGACTTTATATAATGGTTATACATCTATAAAATAAAATATTATTTTATTATATATTTATAATAAAATATTTTATAGTATAAAATCATTTTATTATAAAATAAATTTATTTTGTTTACATGCACTCACACTCTAATGCATACCCTTCACTACTCATTCAACTGACCTCCACTTTCCATGTGTTTTCTGTACTTGTTATGTATTTAATTTATTGTTTGTTTATTGAATTACTTACAAATACATACATATTCAGCTAAAAATATTTGACACGATTTTACCAATTTGGGAAAAAGAAAAGAGTGATCTAAATCAAGAGAGCAGCAGATGTAGATACAAAGACGTTTGTTACGGAGGCCCGATAAATAACAATCTTGTAGTGAGAAACAAAACTGCCATACAGGATTTAGCCGAAACATATGATGTACCTGAGCTGTGACAATAATGATCTTGAGCAGCTGCAGGATTAGTTTATAAGGCTTGCGGCCCTTGGCGTGATATTTATCACATGGGCTCATGAAGAAGTATTTCAACTTCCTCCGAATCGCCTCCTCTTCCTGCTCAACCCCAACCCAATGACCTGCCGTCGCTGTGGGATATCGGTGGTTGCAATGGTTGCTGCCATGATTGCTACTCTGATGGTCGTGCTCGCCGCTGCTGTCTGTGGAGCCGTAACGAGTCGCTGAGGACGACAGGCCTTCTCGATCTGAAAGGAAAAGAAATAAAGAATGTTTATTTTCTCAGTGATGCAGATTTTGATGATGTTTTCTATCTTTCTGTCTATCTCAGTCCACACAACAAAAAGCACTTCATGAATCTTTGATCAGGACTCCTATGCAGAGAAAACTGATGCACAAGATGAACAGACTCAAAATGATCCCACCAGCGTACAAGCTCACATTGGCCTTCTAGTTGTTCAGTGAGAAAATAAAATTGTACTTAAAAACCCTTTGTACTACAGAGGATATCTTTAATCAGCTTATAAGTGGATCTAGTGGTCAAACTCAAACTCAGTGTGTCAATACTAGAGCCTGATTAATCAGTCCAATACTTGTGTATTACATATACATTGGTGTACACTCTATGCTGGACAATAACCAACAAGAAACTATAGAAATAACAAGGATATATAAAGAGATATCTTGGAAATTCTTTAGACGTGTGTTTATGGTATGTGTCTGTGTAAAAAGTTAATAACAGCTCACTTTACCTTATTGTATTATTAATTAAACCTCACATATCAACATTGGTATCTGCCTTAAAAATCCACTATAGCACAGGCTCTAGTCGATACAACACACATCTCCAAATGTTTGATTTTCTTCATTCACAAGACCACAATATGCCAATATTTTACAAACAACATCATCATTACAACTGTTTCACCTCATTAGAGCTGGTTTTTATTAAGTGTGGCGGACTTGTGACTAGATTTGCTTTCGGGGTTTTCCCCCAGAAATTGTTTAGACGTGGTCAGCCACACTGATCCTGATGCATCTCGGGCCATGATAAATTCAGTTAGTAGATGATGGCCTTAACAATTACCACATTCTTCTGTTTTCCCCTTAAGATTAAGGTTTTATTTGATAAAAATTGATGGGTTTATTAGTAGCTACACTAGCGGCTCTGAGGATGACAACGCTGGTTGGTTCAGTCAGTTCATCACTTTGGTCCAGACTGAAATATCTCAACAACTACTGGATGAATTGTAAAGAAATTCTGTACAAACATCTGTGGTTCCCAGCAGATGAATCCTATTGATTTAAGTGATTCCTTCATTTCTCCTCTAGTGCCATTTGAGGTGGAACAACTTTTGGATGTATTGTCTACAGAACTAATGACATTCTCAATAGCCTCAGGTGAACTATACGTTATGTTTGTTTGCTAATTAGCACAAGTTAGTATGCTAACTAAGATGGTGAACGTGGTAATCATTGTACCTGCTTAACATCACACCATTAGCATTGTCATTATGATTTATTGGAGCTGGTCTTTGTTTCAGGGTCCGGTGGCACATCTGCTGTAAACTGTAACATGCTTAAAACATAACCCTGGCTTTAATACTTTTCAGTACATGAGGCACATATTAATGGAGCTAGTGGGTAGTAGTAGTAGGTCACAAGGCTGTTATACTAAAGAACGTGAAGATGATGATAAATCATGGCCCATGGCAGTAAAGCAAACAGGCAGACATAGAGACCAGGACAAGAGTCTCGATTGTGCAGTCCGACAGTTGTGACTCTAACAGTTGAGCTGAGAGGGAAAACAAAAATCACATGAATTGAGCTTCCAAAGTGCTAACCCCAAGTCTACTTCCAGCGACAGCATCCTGTCTGCGCCATTCCTGTCTGCCTGAACAGTCTGTCTTCAGCTTTTACTGTTTTCACCTCAGTCTGACACCTACTCTTTGTTTCTCAGTGTGTTCCACTTTATTCCTCTCTGTCCCCTCTGGCGCTTTGAGCATGTGCTCAGCCTGTCTACACATGTGATTTAACCCTTAAAACTCCAAAGCTGCAAGAACTAATAGAAATAAAATGTTGGTTTAACCTACAAAGTAGACAGAAAGAGCCAATATATGATGTTAGGAAGTAACTATTTTAAATTAAGTGTGTAAATGAGAAAGGGAGTAATCTATTTTCCCAAAGAGTCTGTAATATGTCTGCTAGTTACTGCTGACATCAGTGTAGTAGATGAAGAGCAGTAGGAGAAGTAAGGCAGATTACTGGGGCGGTTAGGTAAGAGCTGACAAATGTCAGAAGTCTGGCCTGACTGAGTTTGATAATGGTAACAACAGAAATTTGGGTGTGTATGAGGTCAGACGAAATACAAATCTTCCACTTCATGAATAATGTTCTCCTGAGCGTGAGGACAAGATCTTTTTAGTAATTATTGAGAACTTTTTAAACACTACTTTCCACTGGCTGAAGGACAAAATAAAGGCAAACTATAATACTGTGATAGTTTTCTAAACTCCAAGGTATGACAAGCAGCTTCATTTGAAATGTGTTTAATTTAAATCTTCCTTTGTAGTAAACTGTTACTGTTATGTTGGGGATCCACTCAAATATGGTCTATTCTTGATCATTACCACAAAGGCTTTAGTAGTGTTTGTAGTAAACAGCTACTTTATATGCACCTTAATACTGTTTAGAAGGAAAAAAAACCACAACCATGTGTGTAACTAACTGCTCAGTAGTTTTGTGCTCATTTGTGGTGAGAGAAAAAGAGGGCGAGTCGGAGCGAGACAAACTGGAGAACAATTTAAGCAGGTAATAAATGACCATCTCATGATATTCATCTATAAAGCTCTACTGATAAAACTTCCAAACTACCTCACGTCTCTTCCTTCATTTAAATCTTGTGACTACAGCACACGATTCAATAACTACTTCCCGTAGATATTCAATATTTACACACTAATCTTGGTAGAGAGCCTAAATGGAGGATACTGCAAACTGACCTTCAGCTAGACTCGTTCGTTCCTCTGGCAACTTTAAAGCTTTATTTTTTAATCAGTTCTTTGTCAATTGTGTTCGTCTGGCCTTATTTGTGTATATTTGTATGCTGGTTGTGTGATTGTCTGACTCTCAGTTCTCAATCTCAGCTTTAATAAAAGTTTTTTGAAAAGACCTGCGTTAAAAACAGACATGACTAAGTACGACAACAGAGCATACAGTTTATGGTATGGAAACGAAGCCGGTCAACGTGTCATGTCTTTGTAGGAAAGTCACAAATCACAAAGTAGGCTAATCACACTTAATACTTGTCACATGCTTTTAGCGGGTTGGACCTAGCCGCTTTGAAGAAACAACAAAGAATGGGGTCTCTCAGTTTATTCACTCAGCTGAGGAAAATGTGTTTAGTTGGCACTAAACTCAAACTGGTCATGGTTACAGTAGATATGGATTTTAGAGCATTTGATTAATGTTCTTTATACGACAGACACAAAAGAACTTATTTAAGTATTACTATGTAGTCAAAGTCAGCACGTGCAAGGTCAGATAAACTGCTGAGTCAGGACGAATCCAAACTCAACAGACACAATAAGTCAGCAGAGCAAACCACCAGCTTAGCAGAGTTGTCAAATGGAAATGAGAAGTGAAACAGGGACAAAACACCACTGTTGTTCAATATCAGGCAGCTCAAGTTCAACAGAATAGCATTACACAGAAAAGTTAGGGACTGGCGTCGCTCCAAATTCTTATTCATGTGTAATCCTGTGGCATATTTATCAAACAATAAAAAAATAAAATAAAAGGTGTTTGTCAAGTTTTCCTATTTTTTCAACATGGCACAATGCTTAGAATTATTTCTATTTACACATAGTTTGTGTGGATCATTTTGTCAACTGTAACCAAAAGTATCCATCCGTGACATAACCTCATCACCAGTAATCAAAAGGCTGGGACCACTCTTAACACTATAGAACACTTACATCTAATTTATTTATGTTTTCTGATACTTTTAAGAGCTGTAACAAGCACTTTTTTGTTTGGAATCTGAAACATGGACTGTTCTGGGTTTTACTCAAAGCAACTATCCAGCTTATTTAATAATTCTGCTTCATGAGACTGGCCTATTACTGATGTAAGCAAGCATTTACTTCATCTTGTCTAGTGTAAATTAAAAGACCAGGCAAAATTAAAAACAGTTTTACTTGATTAGCTGGTGACACCCTCGTGGTCTTAAGTCTTAAATGAAGTCTCAAGTCTTTAAGTCATTGTTTGGTTTTGGTTTTTGCTCAATGTCTGTAGGCTAAGTCTACCGTGCATGACTCACCTTAGGAAATAAGTTCCAGATTGCAAAATGAACTTATCTTCCACTGACCAAATGGCTAGTGAATGTTCAGATTTTACCCGCCATTCAACAGCTGGTGAGTGAAGCAAATCTACCAACTATTCACATATTTTACCAGCATTTCGGCTGGTGGCTACCTGCTGCTAATTTTGTTCTCTGGTTGTAACCTGAGGTTTTATTATAACCACATGTGGTTGCCTGCAGCAAACCAAACTCACATTCATATGGATCAGTTCCTGAATTATCCAACACCTGTTGTTATCGTATGAGAATTTCAAGCTGTTAGCATACAGATGAGGCATCATCTCAAAATGAGCTGAAAAGTCACAGCATCTTAATTAACACTGCTACAGACGAGGAAGGCGAGGTGCCCTGGCTTTGACAGGGGTTGCGTGCCTCTGTGAGAAGAATGAAAAACAACAGAAAGAATCCAACCACTTCACATTTCGTGCAGACAATGGGCGAGTGCACACATATCTTTGATCAGAGGAGTGTGTCGATTGTCACGGCGGAGAGCAATCAGACAAACAAAAGTGGGTGCAGGACATTGACCGTGCCACCAGATTTTGACACAAGTTAATCTGTGAACATATTTGTCTCTTCCGGTTCACAGCCGCCTGTGAAACACTGGCAGAAACACTAACGTAGCCACAAGTCTGTCAATCAAAATCTTTACTCTGTCAACAACTTGGTATCTGTGCTTAGATCTAGTCCTCAGCAAGAGGCCACCCAACAAGCTCAGAGTCGAAAACCTCTACCCAAGTTGAAGGAAACATCTTGAAAAAAAAAAAAAATAGATATACTGATAACCATGTTGTGGGGCTATTTGTGGGTAGGAGGTGACGCTTTTTATTAACAATATATTTTGCAGCGATGTGTTTTGTTTCACTTTCCCATAAGCATTTGGTTCAGTTTCAACACAAGAGTGATCATGAGATTTTAAAAAAAGGCCTGATAATATGGCTTTAAATAATCAAATTACTAAGCAAAACAAAACATATTTCCTGACTTACCCCGACTGTAGTTGTTTGGGGGAGTTTTGGTTTAATGTGCACCTCTGCCAACACAATATCATGGGGGTAGGATAAGCAAGGAGGCAAAGCACTCAACAGCAAATCATCTTTCTAAAAGCAATGTCCCTGCTCAGGAAAATGGCAGCACAAACAAAGTTTTTTGGAGAGCAGAGTTCATTATTATTTGATAAAATGTAACGTAAGTGCTCACAGTGAGGTCTGTGGATGATCCTGAATAACTGGGGCCTGTCTTTAAAGCGTTTCCACAAACTACATTTATCTAACCCTCTATTGAATTAGGATGGCAGACAAGGTTCTGGCAGATGTCTCAAAAGTTCTGCATATCCATATTTATATACCAACATAGGTGAACTGACCCTTTAACCTGAAACCTACTGAATACATACTGTGTGTGGTGCTCCAGAAGACTTTTAACTCCTTAAAGCAGATCAAGAAATCACAAGCTGATATTAAAAACTCAAGGTCTACTTACTAGCTTTTTTGAGAGCTTTTGACTGCATCTTAAAGTCTTAAAAGTTTTGTGAAAAAGACACTTGAATGAAGATTTTTCTTGTCAAACTCCTGTTTTCAAGATCAATAATAAACTTTTGTGCTCAATTTAAAAATCCTTTACACAGAGGAACAAAATAATCAATGGTACCTCACTTCATCCAACCAACATCAACAATCTCTCAAAAAACTGCAGACTAAACCACTCGTGAAAGGAGCTTATGAAACGGTGTTGGAACCATTATTATGCATGAAAGAGTCAGGGTGTTTAGATGCGCTTGACTTAGTAGATTTGCTAAAGGAGGGCTGATGGTGGTGAAGGATCTGGGTCTTAATGGGCAGAGTCACTGCAACTTCAGAAACTGGGGCAAGATGTAGTCCTCAATTTAAAAGATGCATTATATTAATTATACTCGATATTACATGTAGTTAAAAGTTAACTCCCTAAACACGTCCAAATGGGCTGCGACTAACTATTATTTTCAATTTTCATTAATCATTTAGTCTAAAAATGCTCATCACAAGTTCAAAGAATCAATGTCATGTTCTTAAATCTTATTTTGTTTCGACCAACAGTCAAAAAACCCAAAGATATAAATTTATAGCGATATAAAAAAGGATAACAGCAAGCAAATCTTCACATTTAAGAACAATTAACTCATCGGGTGGTCAACTATTACTAAATAGTTTGAGCTCTAATATTGTATATGTCTATTCTGTTCTTTAGACAAACAATTCAAATACAGTGCCTAGTTAAGTGTAAACCCTACTACAGCTTTTATCTTTGTAAGTACGAGTAATTTAGATCTCTAACTCTAACTTTCATTCATTATATTTTGCTGCTGTATGATAATCAAGGATCTCTACCTGAATGTTGCTGCAAAACTTTCTGTATTAAGAAATGACTTGTGGCGCAGCAGAGTTGGGAAATGACCACTTTGTCATTAAGGACTAAAAATATAGCATGATCACAGTAAAAAACCTGATGTTGACAGAGCAGTTCGGGAAAAACACACACACACAGACACGATGATAATGACTACTGTCTCACAGCTGCCCAGAAGATGACTGAGCAGAAATACAGTAAGAGCTGAAGTCATGGACGTCTCAATAACTACATTTGAGACACCAGGGCAGCTCTGGAGCTCTTAAAGCCCTGTTAAATCCCACTGAACTGAGTATTAATGAGCAAAACAAACTGTGAGAAGACAAATGAATCGTGATTAACGGCACTACATTACCGGAGGAGTGCTGGTGTCCTGTGGCCGCCATGTAGACAGTTAACCGTTTAAAGATACAATAAATAGGTAAATCATACAGTTAAAGCTCAGAATATCCAATTGATTACTAGTTTACTGTACTAGTAATTGTTTAAAGCTCTCACAACACACAGCGGTCGTAAACCAGCAGCCGAGCTGCTGTGCTGCTGTTTGCTCTCCCTCTCCCCCTCTCTCTCTCTCTCTCTCTCTCTTCCTCCCTCCGGTCATGTGACTGACACCATGTGACCAGATTACTCACAGCTCTGTGCCACAGAGCCAGCGGGTACAGCACACCCGTTCACAGCAGATTTATCATGACTTTTTTATTATAACTTTTATATATTATAACTGTGCAAGGCATGACTTACAGCTAAACTTATTTTTATTTTTATTTAAAAATATCCACCATTCTCACCCTTGTGTCCTGAAGAAGAGCTACACCAAGGTCACTGGTTGTCAGCAGGATGCTAGCTAAAACATGGGAGTCCTTCCAGTGGAGAGAACATGTTAGAAAATGAGTTGGTCTGTCTTTATGTGCCTGTGAATGGTTGAATCTGTTAATAGCTCCCTGTGTGTTTTAATGACAGAGGAATAATGGTTATAACTTAAATCAGAGTTGCAAAATAAAAGCCTTTTGGATCTGATTTTCTGATCACTGGTGCTCCACTGCATGAAGCCTTTTCATCTTTTTCTCCCCTTCCCCCTTATTCAACATTATACATGTAAATGACCATAACATCATGAGTCTGACTCACTTGAATTTGCACAAACAAATCCCTAATATTATCAAGTTTTAGTTGTTCTTCAAAAGTGAATATAATTGCCAATATCAGTGTGCATATGTCTATTTAGCAAATTAAAAACTTCTAAATTACAAACCTAGACAAAAGCAGCCTGGTACAAGGTGTAAGGGGATCTATAATGCCACCAGTTATTGATAGTGTTCAAAACGGGACTGTTGTGCTGGATTACATTACATTGTACAGGTGTTTCTGCTTGTCGCATCACTCACTGAAAATCAATCAAGTCAATGGTTTTATGAGGTTGTCAAATGTCATTATTTACTGACCTCAGTACAGATTTACCTTAAAGGTTTGTTTTTTAGGGTAAATGCAAAAAGAGGCCACCTCTTGTAACAAACTCAATATTGTATCATTAGTGCAATACCCTGCCATCACACATTTGTGGTACTCAGAAACAGGAGCAGAATGAGGAGTCATTTGTTTTTCTTCTCTTGGATAAATTACTCACCAACACTGTATTTTCCAGTTGCAGCATCGGTAAATCACCCACGGTTTATGAAAACATCAAATTTAAATACTACTATTCCCAGAGTTCAACAAAAAATATCTTTATCCAAAAAACATCTTCATGTATTTATTTACATTTGTGTCAGAGAAAAATATATAATAAAACAATAATATAAACATTATATTGCATAATCACACATGCACAACACAACACATCAACAACAACACAAATCTTTAACAGCAGGCTTAACGTGTCACGAGAAAAGCTGCCCCACCTACAGGACACATCCCTGTTAGACTGTGTTGATCCCACAATACAAACATGTACAGACGGTCTGTGGGACAAACAGCCTATTATCCCATCAGGCCTGTCAATACAGATGCAGTCACACATTTTATCTGACTAAAATGGGGAAATGGAAGATTCGCAATCAGCTGTTTGGCTCGGAAATTGCTGGTGTCAGCCGAATACTACGGAAAACAAGAACCTCATCTGCAGCCCAAGATTAACTGTTTCAGGTAAATAAACAGTAATTTTATTGTAATGTTTAAATTCATTGTATTCTTCTTCAGAGCTGAAATGAGTAGTCCGTTATTCAATTAGTTGAGTGAGGGAAAGTTAATTGGCAACAATTTTGATAGTTGATTGACTAATTTTTTAGGCAAAACTGACAAAAAAATTACCGGTTGCAGCTCGTCAAAGGTGAAGATTTGCTACTTTTAAATTAACAATCTTTGGGTTTTGGCCAGTTGATGCAATGTAAATACATCGGCTTACATTCAATGATATTAAACAACTGTTTGTCCTCTTAAATCAGGGAATTTACAACCCATTCTTAAACAAAATGATTACACTGCCTTCACCACAGTCTGCAGCGGTCTTTACAGAGACAGCAGTCATTAAATATCATACCTCCTTCCTCACACACAGCCATCTCAATTTCTCAACTTCTTGTCCCTTCACTATCTGCCTTACAGTGCTTTGTCTCTGTCTCATGAGCGTGGTGCCTTTGTGCCAGTGGACGGTGACCATGGCGGGGAAGCCTCTATGATCCCTCCGGTGAAGGCTGCACAGTTCAATGTGCTGTTCTCCTTAGGAACAGTGATGTATGTGTTTGACGAGGGGCTCCTTTTCGATGATGTAGTAGGTCTTGTCATCATCGCTGGCCTGCTCCAGCTTGTCTGTCTCCTCCCCGGACAAGGCTCTCCACACTGATACCTGTGGAGTACAAAGAAAATGACTGAGGAGGATGAAGGCAGAGGTTTACACAGGGATTACCAGTATACTTACTAACTGTAATGTGCTTAAGTTTAGTTTAGTTGTGTGTGCTTTTTATGGTTAATTTGTACAATGGTGATAGAAAAAAACAAAAAAAATTATCTGATTTATCTTACTTTTACTACTATTTGATGTTAGTTACACCATATTGAGCATGGTTTGGCAACAGTGCAGCTGAAAAGCAGGCTGGCCAGCACGCACAAAATAGCTATAAAGGATCATAGGGAGCAAAGAATATGAGCCCATACAGAGCCTGTATGAGCACACAGTCATTAAACAAGCAGGGAAAATCTCTGAATTGCAAATCAAACAGACTGAAGTTATCGTTCATCCCAACTTTTATCAAGCTGCTGAACTCTAATACTAAATCATAGTGTAACAGGGCAATGTGTAATAAACTAACCAGCACTGTAGCACTTTAATTCTTATACTTTATTTTTAAGCTGCCGTATTGTCAGTGTTAAAATGTATAGTGTCTTTCATGTTTTAAGATGTTTAATGTTGATTTTGTGATGGGTTTCTGAACTCACCCTCCTTCATGTGCAGAAGCTCATATAATGTATTGATACTTGTGAGACAAGTTATCCATGGTTAATTAATGTTAGGTTTAGTGTACATTGTGTACATGTACTCTGAGGATTACTGACCAGAGTCAATGTAGTGCCAGAGCACAGAAGTGGAAGTACAATAAGTTATCACAATATAAGAATATTACAAAATATAATAGAAAATATAAGACTATAAATAAAAAGTATATATACTATATGCAATATGCAGTAAAACGGTGTGCAAATATTTGAGCAGCTTTGACTAAAAACTAAACTCTACATGTGCAACTTATAATATAAATAGTTGTGTTTTATCTCTTTTGTATCTGTTTCACAGTCAGTGCTGGAAGTAAAAGTCTCAATGGCACTGTGTTAAAAACTAACTAATAATGTAACTAATAATATTAATGTCAGTTTAAGGAGCCATCATTAACAGTTCTGGTTCACCCTCCCTGTGCTTCCCCTGCTGTCAGTGAGTGTGTATCCTCATGAACAGCAGTATGTTCAGTACTTTTGCCTCCCTCTTCTCTCTCAGTACCAGCACGTCCAGCCGAGTACACCCGGCTCTGGCAGTACTGCACCACCTCCGAGACCAGCAGGGTCACCTCAGTTTAGGGTCCCTCAAAAACAGCAGATTTGCCTTGAGTGAAGCGCGACTCCATTACGGTTTAATTACCAGCTGTGGTAGTGCGAAGAGAGTAAGACAGGTCCGGTAAAAGGCAACAAACACAGTTGCTGCTGGACTTCAGGTTTCGAGTGTAAACGTCACTTTGTCACATGACACAACTGATTTATTCAGATTCGTTGAACATGCATCAAACCATCGACATTTTGTATCCCCCAAACACACATACAACACAGTAAGCCATGGCAAATTACGTCTTTTAAAGTATTTTAAATATAGCAAGTACAGACATATGAGACATTACGAGATAATAAGAAAGCAAATCTCCAAATGTTTAATTTAGACAAATTTATATAAAATATATATAATTTATATATAAATATTTATAATGATAATAGGAAGACACATTTTTCGCATAATTATATATATACAGATATATATGTGTGTATACATATACATACATACATATGGAATTTAGATATAGTTCCCTTATTGCTACTGTTAAAAAATGGATTAAGAAACTGTCTTGAAGTCTTCACAGAGGTGGACAGGCTGTGGATGGGATGGGTGCTTTCTTCAGGCACCTCACCTCATCAACATCACTGACTAATATCAATTGCAATGCATTGTTATATTGTTATGAAACTTTATTCATTGGTTTATCTTTGTATGTCATAATCTTAATTGGCCTAGTGTGTGTGATAAGTCATAAAACTGTGATCAGTAAAATCTCTCATACGAAGACATTGTCTTGATTTGGGGACACTGTTATGAATGACTGTTTATGACTGATGATAGTTTAACACCTTTGTTGTGCAGGTTCATGGTTTAACAACCCCTCAAATAACAAAATCAGGACAAAAGTTGGACAGTTGTTGTTTTCAATAGTTTCCCTGCATTAAAGGTTCCGGGAGTTGAACGTTTCTGTCATCCCCAGTGACTAAAATGTGCCCTGACACTGGTGAATACACAGCAGATGCACACATCACATGAGATGGTAAACATTAACCATAAATCTGCTTTATATTTCACTTCAGTTATTGAATGATATATTGTGGCCTATTCAAAAGGAAACTGTAAGGCTATATAACATATGGGGGAAAGAGGGACACCCAATATACACATTCACACAATATAGTTAGTAAAGCACTCATTTTTAATCTTTGTAATAACCTTACGCTGGGGCCCAGACTTTGTTTAGCTCATGACACACTTACTTACTGTAGGCTAAATCAATATTTGGGGCCATCAGTGTACAAAGAGTACTCTTCCCTATTGGGACACAACATTGCAGTCATGCACGTACACAAATACTCCTCCACAACTCCTCTCAGAAGTTGTGGGGAGCAGTTTACTTTTTTTTGGAAAGCCTGCTTGTTGAAGGTTACTGTGGAGGTTCCTTCATATCCCATTGCTTTTTTTAGAGGCAACAAGCAGGACGTGCAACATGACTTTATTCAGACTGTCCGTTTTTGTTCTGGCTTCATCCTACTGCTTTACTGTGCATAGCAGGCCGGCAGGTAAGTTCAGTTATTCAAAATATGTAAACATTTGTGTTATCTTATGCCATATTCTCCATTTGGCTGCATAGTTGGTTTTTGGTGTGCTGATAAGGAATATTTCTTTCTATGCAACCTGTCAAGTTGTGGTTCACTTATTACCTGAAATCTGATTTAATCTTTCATTTAAGGAAGTTCAGATTTTCAGTGCGTACCCTATATTTTATTATTATTTTTAATGTATATATACTATCAAAGATACAACAAAGAAGAAGAAGAGATCTGTTACATTACACACTTTTATTGAGATTTCTGGTCCGGTTGAATTGTACCAAGCAACAATGAGATGTTGATACAATCATGTTCCATCTGAATACAATCAGATGTCAAAGAAGCAAGTAAGAAAAGGCCACAGTCTTCTGAAAAATCTGTCCTTTGAGCAAATGGCCCAAACGACTTTAGATAGACATTAAAGAGACAAAGCCCTCTAGCAGCCTTGTGAAGTGTGACGTTGTTATAGAGCGACAAAGTTCGGCGTGGGTGGATGGATCAACAAAACATCGGACTTTAACACGGGACACCGCTGTTTGTTACCTAGCAGTCAACACCAGTTTCTTTTAACTGTGACCGTGATCCTTCCATAACTTTACCACATGTTTATCATTGTAACCATGGCGATGAAGGTCCCCTGATCACGTTTGACCTTAACCAGAAGTTATTTCAAACCAAATCATGATCTTTCCCTTGACCTAACCAATTTGATTTTGTGCTCAAATCTAAATCTAACCAAACCACGGTGGTGTAAGATAGGAAAATATAACACAATGGTCATCTTGTCATTTGTGGTGTCAGATCATTAAACTCTTATATAAGGGCATGGACAAGCAATATAATTTAATTTGGAGGACTTGTTGGTCTTTTCATTTTGTTGAAGGCAGGGTAGTCTAACCTTATTGGGGCCAAATAGTTTTGAGATATTGGGTCATACAGACCCAGCTGTGATCTGTGATCTGAATGTGGCCATCAACCGGCCAGTAGCAATAACTGTACCACATATATCTTGATAATCTAATATAAGGGAGTTAAATTAGGTTTTAATAGGAGGCTATTATTCACTGACTCATTATTGCACTACAACGTCCTTCCTTCACTTCTTTTGTCCCCCATTTGTGTTGTTGTCAGGTGTCCACCTGCGTAATATGGACAGCTTCATCCAAGCTGTGCAGCAGGTAGAAGACTCTAACCCCAGTCTGTCCCCCCTGGCTCTGGTCAGGGCCCTGCGAAGGACCGCTGGCCACGATGATGGGATGACCATTCATTTCTTGGGAGCATCATATAATGCCAGTGATGCTCCTCCTGAGGCCCTAGAGACAGCCATTCTCAATGCCTCATCTTTCAGCTTTTTTGACAAGGCCATCCACCACATTGTGACTGATTACGGAGAGGAACGAGGGGTGGTCCTTGCTCCAGATGGCACTACGGTAGCTCTTGCACCCTTACTGCTAGGAATCGAATTGGGACTGAAAGCCAAGATGGAGGGCACGCCAGCTGTTGGCATGTTCCCCCTCACCTTAGGTAGGACGTTGGGCCTGTCCTTCCTCAGCCTCCAGGACTTCCCATCATCGTATCGCCTGGGGCCTAACGGATGCTGGGACAACGTGGAACACCCTAAGGTGTTCAAGCTGTCTCGGCCTGCTACTCTAGCCACTGATGCTGTTATTAATGGGGGCATGGATGGAGCCATACTGGGCATGGACCTTAGCAACCTATCACCACATGAACAACCTCAGGCCCTCAGTGACATTTTGAAAGGATACTATAGTTTTATTCTGCATGAGGGTCAGGGTCTTGATGCTGTGACCGGCCATATTAGCCCAAGGCGAAGGGAGATCTCTAGATCCATTCTGGAGCCACTTGATCTTCACAGCCAGGTGATGGAGACTCTAACTTTAGTCTGGAAGTTGGAGAAGACAGAATGGATTGCTCTGGACACTGGAGTGGGGAAGGCAGTGAAGGATGGATTGCAGACATTTGTGCACAAATACTGGGGTGAGCTATCAAATGATCAAAAAAGTGCACTTGGACGCAAGGTAGGGCTGCAACTAATGATTATTTTCATTATCAATTAAACTACAGATTGTTTTTCAATTGATTTATCTTTTGGTCTGTAAAATGTGAGCAAAGTTCCCAACAGCTCGCTTATGGTGAATCCTTAAATTGTCCAAAACCCAAAAATATTCAGTTTGCTGTCATAGAAGAGTATGACAACCGAAAAATACTCATATTTGAGAAGAAACCTGTGAGGTTTTGCCATTTTTGCTGAAAAAAAAAATCTTAAATGATATTAGATTATTAAAATGGCCATTTATTTTCTGTCGTTTAACCAATCGATTAATCAAATAATTGTTGCAGCTGTAGCACAAAGGCTAGCCCTTGGTTAAAAAACCCTGCAGGCAATAGTCTTTCTCATTATTGAGGAGCGCATTATTATGTGTATAGTCCTGATACAATATTGAAAAATTAGATAACAACAAATCAGACAGTGCCCTATATCATTTTTATTTTCCTTAAATTACATAAACAGGGATCCAATAAAGGGTACCTGCACACCAGAATAAGTTAATATTTGTCAGGTTCTAGACTAGTTTTGAGTGTTGGAAATGTAAGCTTATGGGTATGACATAACAAAATCTGTAGTGGATTTAGAATCCTAACCCTCCTCCTCTTTCCTCCTCTCCTCAGACTGCCCTCAAATCATCCCTCGTTGTCAATGGCGGGCAAAAGCCTACCGAGGTACACCTATCCCACTGTCTCGGCCCCTCCGGTTTCTCTATGTTCACCACACCTATGAGCCATCCTCACCCTGTTTATCCTTCACAAACTGCTCTCGCGACATGAGATCCATGCAGCGTTTCCACCAGGAAGATCGTGGTTGGAGTGACATAGGATACAGGTAACCGACCTTTAAAGGAATAGTTTGAAATCTTCGGAAAAGAGTTAGATAAGAAGATTGATGCCGCTTTCATGTCTGTGCATTTACTATGAAGGCAGGAGGCGATTAGCCTAGCTTAGCATAATTACTGGAAGCAGGGGGAAAGAGCTAGCGTGGTTCTGTCCAAGGTTTAACCATCTGCCAAACAGCACATTTAAAAGGTAATTAATTAGCACATTGTATCTTGTTTGTTTGATTCATTCACAGACAGAAATATACAGTTTGTGGTTTTACAGTGAGTTACGCGCTGTAATGTTGGGAAGATCGATGACCTGTTGTTCGTCAAGAATTAGTTGTAGACATTGTGTTACTCCCTCTGAACCAGTTTTTACACTTTTATTATTGTACGGATTATGCAAAGCTAGGCTAATTCCCTCCCGTCTTCAGCTCCATCATTTGGCATTAATTCTGAATATCTTGCACTACTTGTGTTATAACATTATCCTCCTCATTAGCCATCTATTTTTCCATAAAGTTTAGTTCAGACACTGCATTTATTAATCGTGTTCTGTACTATCTTTGTGCTCTCAGTTTTGTGGTCGGCTCCGACGGCTACATCTATGAAGGCAGAGGTTGGAACCACCTCGGCACACACACCAGGGGACACAATGATATTGGGTACGGTGTGTCAATCATCGGTAACTACACTGCCACCCTGCCCTCTCGCCATTCCATGGACCTGTTGCGTCATCGTCTAGTCCAATGTGCAGTAAATGGAGGAGCACTGGCTGCCAACTTCACCATCCATGGCCACAGGCAGGTGGTGAACTACACCAGCTGCCCTGGAGACGCGTTCTTTTCAGAAATAAGAAGCTGGGAGCACTTCAGGGAATGACAGGACCTCACTGCCAGTTTAAGATTCTTAAACATCATTAATGGCTCTTCAGGGTATGGTAATATGTCACTGCCTCTGTTTTTATTATTTTTCATTATAATTGTTTCACTGTATGAAATTAGTTAACCTTCATGGCCCTGGACTAGTTTGATCTATGATGGCCGACTAAATGAATCTGTCAGATCATCCTGACATGTGGGGCACCAGTAGGTTTAATGCTGAGACTCAGGTGCTTTAAAGCTCATTCAGGTTTGGTTCTCCTGAACCAACGTACTGTAATCATTATGTGAACAGTGTACCATCTTATTTTACCAACTGTAATCACCTTTACATCAGGAGACCCTCCCAAAACTTAAATTTGAATTTCTGAATCATGGAAATCAGTGTGACACTTAAGAGTTTAGCATAAATAAAAGTATTTGTTATTATTTAATTATTATAATTATTCATAGTTGTTTAGCTTGGAGGATAATAATTGGGAGTTCTATAGCTTTTTCAATCCTTTCAGTTTATCAATACGTCTGATCATGTTCAAGGCCAATGTATACATATTGTCAGGTATGTATGAATATAAATATTAAAAGGTTTCATTATATGAATAAGATGGATTTTTTTTGTTAAAGGTCCAGTGTGTAACATTTAGGAGGATATATTGGAAGAAATTAATATTATAATAAAATATTCATAGGTTTATTTTCATTAGTGTATCATCACCTAAAAGTGAGAATGGTGTTTTTTTAACTTTAGAATAAGCTTTTTATCTACAGAGGGAACGGATCCTCTTCTACAGAGGCCACCGTGTTGAACTGCCCAGAAAGGACCAACCAAACACTGGCTCTAGATAGGGTTTTTTTTTTTTTTTGCTGCCACCATAGTTTCTCCTATATGCTTGGATGGCTGAGTGGTATTTAAATGGTTGCACTCTGCAAACTCACCAGTCACTGAATCCTACACACATTTAAATAAAAATGTAACTTATTTCTCCACTTTTATATTTTACAGATTCTCCAAAAACAGAAGAATAAAGAGACCGGCCAAATGTAATAAATGTGATTGTTCCTAATACCTGTCTTGTTGTTGTTGTTTGTATGAAGTTTTCTACAGGCAGGATTCATTGCACATCACAGCTGAAACCAACACATACAGAGCTTTTTCTACATTTAACAACCATTTTGCAATATTGTTATATTATTATATTGTTGATTCAAACGGTGTAGTGATTGCTTTACCATGATATTAACTTTACAAAGAAAACTATGAACCTTAAAATAACATTCTACATGTTTAATGTTTTTGTGAATTAATAAAATTACATTCACAGTAGTACAAGTTGACTCCAGTCAGTGACTTTTCTTCAAAAGAGTCAGTTGTTGTATTAGATAAAATACAACTAATCATTGATTCAGTTTATCAGAACTACATTAAAAACATTATTTTTATGTGTTATATTCTAAGCATACAATGATTCATTTTTGTGCCACACAATAACACCATTAGCTGATAAAGGCTAAATTATTACAGTTGATATTGCTGTGAACAGTTAGAGTAGAATCAATGCAGCTAATTAATGTGACATCAATCAGTGGGAAATGTATCTGGTGGTAGAAACCTGGCTGGGTGTAGTTTCAAACTGTAAGATATTGCTGTCCTTAGTGAGGTAATTTGAATGTTAGTAGAAGAACACATAAAAATTAAAAGCATGAAACTCCAAACAAGTTTAATTTAAGTGTATACAGGATGGTATAGACAGGTGGATAATTTTGAGTCTGTTGTGTCTTCTCACAAATAAAAAAGAGGGCAAGGCAAACCACACAGTAAATACTAGACTAAGCAAATAGAGCCCTATACACACACACACACACACACACACACACACACACACACACACACACACACACACACACACACACACACACACACACTACCGTATAAACCCCCCAATTTTAATCAGGGTGCACATGTGCAGATATCTGATGGAGACATAACCTCCCAGCACTGGAAGATGCATGATAGGGCTAATTTTCATTAACTGAAAAATGAGGTGCCAAACATGATTAAGACAAGCAACACTAGCAGAGGTGATATGCACTGGTTTTAATGTTGTAAAATGGGGTGCCAAATACATATATAGTTCCTGTAAAGTAAAGTAGAAATACCTGAACAAACTACTAAGTACAGTAACAAAGTATTTGTACTTCCCACCTCTTTACCTGAGCAACTTTTCCCCAGAGGCTGACACTAAATGACCTGACCCCTGCTGCCATACTCAACCGACTGTTTACCTTGTAGTTCTATGGGAAGCAGCAGCAGATGAAGACAAAACTGAAATCCACTAGACAAGCAGACCAAACCTCCACAGTGAGGATGCTGTGCCAGGGAACCTGGCTGTCTGGAATATGAAGCCATGACAGCCTCACTAACAGCCAGTGTCTTTGACTAAACAAACAGCTCCACACAGAGTTCATAGGAAGGACATTTGACACAGTTGTTTGATTCCATATAGCACAGTGCAAAATAGAAAGCTGAAAAACCTTAATTAAGCTGAAAAGCATTTGATTTGTACTACTGAACCACTTGTTTACACAACCCTTAACTCGATCAAGTCTACAGTTTTTAAGAATTCACTAGTCATTAAAAGAGGTATAGGGTTTTCACTCAATAAACCATCAAGCCTCTACCAGTACAGACTAAATTATGTTTAGCCCTTGGTTCAGTCGTGCATGGTGAGCCTTTAAGGTATATATCAGCGCCATCTGCAGGTTCTGTGTTGTAATTTATTATCCTCAACAGGAGACCCGTGATGTGTGAAGTGAATGTGATGGGACTACAATGCATAAAGGTTGAGTTATTGAATATTTATACCAGTAACAAATGCCCCCAAATATCCAAAAATAATTTTATTGTGAGAATACCAGCTTTAGTATCATCAGTAGGAAGTGATTTTGGTGAAACTAAATACAGAAGAGTTAGCCTTTTGCTTATTTTGTGTTGTGTATTTGTTGACGGTCCCTGCGCACTCCGGGGGTACATAGATAAGTTTTGGGCTCCTTTTGATGAAAATTAATTTGTAGCTTATTGTTTACTTTACTACGGTTGGAAAGAGGCGTCGCTTGTGTTTTTAAAAAGTTTCCATTATGAGTTATTGATGCGAATCTGTAAATATGTCTCCAACTTACTTCACTGCAGGCTGGTAGTGGTCGTGTTCGAGGTCAGGAAGGAAATTCAGTTTCCTTTTCAGATCGTATCTGCTTCTAGTGAGCTCTTTTCATTGCACTTCTGGTCTCCGGGTACAAGACAGCCCAAATAAAGGCTTCTCAGTCCAGCCACGGTGATCTAAGCTCACAGCAGCAGTGTTTTTTCTCCCCTCTGATGCAGAGATGCCTCCCAAGACCGTTAAACGCGCTCTAAACGACCTGCTGGAGGATTTGAGCGTCATACAGTTACAGAAGTTCTGCTCTGCGATCATGGACCGCAGGGAAGAGCCACGGGTCAGACGCAGAGCACTGCAAGGCAAAAATGATATAGAAATCTCAGATGTGCTGGTCACAACCTTCACTGAGTCCGGAGTCGTCGAAGTGGTTCTGGACGCGTTGAAGGAGATTGGCTGTAACGAGCAAAGAGAGAACTTCGGTGAGTTTAACACCAGGGCGTAGGCTTGGTTCCAGCTGTAAAAAAAATAAAAAAATAAAAAAAATAAAAAAGCATAAATATGGTATTTAAGCTTCATGAGAAGTATTTTAAAACAGAATTATTTGTTTTATAAGAGAATAGACTTATGGGGTGAAGACTAACTGTGGTGTTGATGTACGTCTCTTTAATTACCCCGCCACCCCCATTAGCGCACAGCTTTCCCTGGTGGATGCCTTGCTGCCTGATGCATTCATGTGATCCAACACTGTTGGGAACTTCTGGATCTCAGTCTGTCTTGAACTGAGAGAGTTTTAAAGTTTCAGATTGGTGAAACCTGCTTTCTGTTTTAATTGCAGACCAACTCTGTGAAAACAAATATATCAAACTTATCAAAACTCACAATTATCTATTCTAGTCTTGTATGATATTTTGGACTGATTTTTCAAACTGATTTGATCACAAGTCTAAACATTTATTAAGTCTAGATTTTAGGATTTTGCACTTACATATAGAGTCTGGGGGGAGAAACATCAAAAAGAGACATCTGCACAGGGAAGCACAAATAACAGATAACATTTAATCTATAGCATGATTTCATTTAATGTTTTTGTGAAATTCGTAACACAGGGTTTCTGTTTCAATATTTGATCTCCAAGTGCAAGTGAGAAAAGCGTTTCAGAGTCAGAGATTACTGAAATGAAAACACAATGTTTTATCTTTCTATCATTTGAGCAATTCTTTTTACTTTCATTTTGAGTGTCAGGGACCGAGCTGGCAGGCATGAGGAGTCAAGGGTAAATTTTCACAAAAAGTAATTTTATTCACAAAAAAAATTGAAAATAATCAATTTACAAAATATACAACATTTTTTGGGCCCATAAAAGAGGTCAACTAAACAGAACTTCCCTCAGGCTACATTAACTGAACGAACTGAACATACTAAACCAACCAACCAAACCGACCTAACTACGCTGAGACATTGGGGAAACTTAAATAGTGGCCTCTCCACCACGGCAAGGTGCAGTTCACAGAGAGGAAGGGCCACTGTTAAGTTAGTTACTTGCTTTTTTATTCACATTTGCAATTGCACAGTTCTGTGCAAGTGAAACCCAATCTAAAACATTTGCATCTTCCACGGCACTCTGATTTGCAGCCACACTTGGCTAGTTGTTCACAATTTTGTGCAACTGGTGCTTTGCTGTCCAGAAGAACCCCCATTGTTCACCAAGCTTTTACCATCCCCAGTCAGCAGGACTCTCTGCTTCTGGCTGACACTGGGTTGCTTGACCCCATATGCAGCCTGCCTGATATGCAGCACGTTTAGTGTGTTGAAGCAGAGCTGCTCTTGTTGGAGGAATGGCTTCATATGGCCTCTGCTTTCAGGCAAACATGTCAAGTCTAGCCTCATCTACACTAACAGCTGTGCTTGATCAATCATACAGCAGGACCACAAACTTCTCAAGGATCTCCAGGTCACTATCAGTCAGAACAGGAGGGTATTGACTTAGTTTGCTTAAGGTGAGAGAGCCCTCAGGGAAAATGTCCCAGGTTTGCCAGGCAGTCTTTTTGCCTTGCCTACTGGCTAATTGATGAGGTGCTGTTAGACAGCATTTGGGACATCAAACTTAGCTATACTATTACTATTAGTCAAGAACTACAGTGAAAGTAAAACTAGATCAGCTGACACCGAACCCCATGCTGAGTTCCACAGCAGTGAAGTCACCAGTGTACCCTGGTTGTGTAATGACGTTCACTCTATTAAACAAAACCTTCCTGAACACATTAAATTGAGCTCTGACAGAAATGGTGGCCATCTTGAAAATGTTTCGCCATCTTGAATTTTTGAGTGGCACACACCTTTTTCTATGAAAATGTTCCTTGAAGAATATTTGTACCAAATTTCATGATAGCATCACCATTTGAAAAATTGATGTAAGGATTCAAGAGAAATGGCGGCCATCTTGAAAAATGGTTGCCATCTTGAATTTTTGAGGGACAAGCACCGTTTTCCAAAAAAACTTTCTTGAGAGAGTATTTTCACAAAATGTTACGCCTACATCACTGTTTGAACGATTGACATAATGAGCATTTGACAGAAATAGCGGCCATCCTGAAAAAATGGCCGCCATGTTGAATTTTTGGGTGGCCAACGCCTTTTTCCCAAAAAGTGACCCTTAGAGAGTATCTGTGCCAAATTTCATGCTTGTATAACAATTTGAACGATTCTCTTGAAATATGCCATTAACCTGCTGCACTAATAATCAGAAATAACTAAACTCAAACAAGGAGAAATCACTGCGTTTCCCCATGAATCTGGTCAACATGGTGTAGCCCAATTATCGGCCCAACCCCTTTTTAAGCGTCTCTGGTTCTGCCGGCACTTCCTTTGTCAGCCATGCAACATCTTCAGCAGCAGCAACCAGTTAACTGTTAACTCAAAGAAAACTGAATTAATGCAATGAAAACTTGAATGAACCTAATAATACTACCCAAAATTGACAAAGGAAGTTAACTAATTGTGTGCACCCCAAAAAGATAACGGCTCTCAAAAATGGATAATACAACTGTATTATGAATCCAAAATCTGTGTCCAGTTATTTATTGTGAATTGTGTCTAATGTTCTAAACCTAAAGATAATCAAACAAATGAAAGAGTTACCACCACACGCTTTTGCCTCGGTGTGTGGCTGCTAGGGCGGCCATCACATTGAGCATTACATTCACTCTTCTACCTGCCTGCATGCACACCTTATGGCATTGCCTAATGGTTATCAAATGCTCTTAACAACACTAATATACCAACAGAAGTCTTTGAATAAATGATATGAGCCCTCTTTAACATTGTGTCTTTGCATATTTCCAGCCAAAGACACAAGTGAAGCATCACAGACACTTGTTTCAAGTAAGTGTATGTGCATGATGTAAAATACCTTCAGGTCCTCATGCTGTGTGTTGAACACTAACAAACTGAACATTTGTATGCAGGTTATGGAAACATCATGAAGGTGGAAACTACTGGTGCCTCAGAGCAAACAGCTCAGCAGGACAATCTGAATTACTCAGGTAAACACTGATCCATCCATCTATTGTTATTTATCTATCTCTACAGAGTAATAACATAAACAGATTGACATGGTGATAGCTGCACTGGAATAGCCATATTCTTGTTCTCTCCTTGATTACTTTCCAAAGGTGTGAGGGCGTCATCTGCCATGGCAGAGACTGATCTGGAGAAAATGAAGGACTACAAATCCATCATCAAAAATGTGGCTCGTCAGAAAGGAATCGATCCAGCTCTGATTGCGGCCATCATCTCCAGATCATGCAGGGCTGGAAAGACCCTGAAGCCAGGAGGCCGGGGGCGCTATGATGAAAATAGCTATGGGCTGATGCAGGTAAAAAAAAAAATGTTTTGATCACTCCTTTTTAGTAGTGTCTCATGTTACAATACAATAGCATCTGAACTTAATTAACTATTATTTCCCATAGATTTATGTCAATCCAAATGGAGATGGAAACACCACAAAAGTTCCATTTGACAGTGAGGACCACCTCCTAGAAGGCACCAACATCCTGATTTATTTCATATTGCGCATAAAGAATGCATTTCCTGACTGGAGCAAGGAACAGCAGCTGAAAGGTTTGTTTTACTGAATCAGTCAACGCTCGTGATGAACTCCCTTTAAAGCTCACTTTGCTTTGGTCTCATTTGTGTTTGTCTCTGCAGGAGGGATAGCAGCCTACAATGCAGGTGATGGGAACATCCACAGCTATGAAGAGGTGGACGCCAAAACCACATGTGGAGACTACTCCAATGATGTTATTGCCAGAGCTCAGTGGTACAAAAGGAATGGAGGCTTTTAAAACCTGAAGCTGCATAATCTCCTAAAAATTATAGATCAAACAATGTCTGTAATGAGTGCTTCTTTTAATCCTTTGAGATACACTGTCCATTCCAATAGATTTACTTCTAGGATGTCTAGACGTATGATTACTGTCCCCTGACTCCCCACAAATGCACAAACTTATGTCTATAAGTCAGTCACATCGTCTGAAGTGGACTGCAGCAGAGCCACAATTCCTTTTCAGCAAACATGGCTGATGAGGCAAGGAGGAAGCATAAGCCATAACTTCTGTTTAAACTGTGTTTACAGTAAATATGAGATGTTATACAACTTCTACATGATCTGAATGTCACCTAAAGGGAAACCGGGAAATCAATAGAGAAATACTGTTTTGTGTGACTGTTCTGATTTGATTTCCTAATGATACAATCAGATTATAATGCATCCTATTGGTTATGTACACAGAATATTCAATAATAATAATATGAATAACTTTGTTTTTATCAATCATATCGTTGAAATAATAAAAAATGTATATACGCAACGTGTTTTAAGCTTCACTTTATTCATTAATATGAGTAAACCATTCATTACAAATAAATTACCTCACTTTTAGGGTTATAGAAAATCCTTGTTTCTCAGATGGGTTCAAGGCTACTGATGTTTGTCAGCGTACTGCATAGGGAAATTAAAAGTTCAGATATTGTATTGACCACGGTACCCATTTGTTGAAATCCATTTGTGTAAGTCACTCTTACTGGCTGACTGAGATTAGTATGGTAAATGTTAAATGGACTGTACTTATATAGGTACTTTCTAGTCTTTCAACCACTCAATGCGCTGTACACTACATGCCACACTCACCCCATTCACACACATTCATACACTGATGGCAGTGGCTGCCATGCAAGGTGCCGACTGCTCACCAGAACGGAAAACTAATCATTCATACATACTCATCGGGAGCACTTTGGGGGTTCAGTGTCTTGCTCAAAGACACTTCGACATGCAGCGAGAGGAGCCGGGGATCGAACCGCCAACCTTCCAAGTGGACGACCCGCTCTAACTCTGAGCCACAGCCACCCTCACTCACTCTTGTGTGTGTTTGCATGAAAAAATTAAATGTCCAAAATAAAGAATTTATATTCACTCCTTGCCTTCCCATGTGCTGCATATAAAAAACAACGACTAAATTATTATTGTAAACAAAAATATCAAAAATAATAATAGGATTTAGACATGAAGCTGCACAAAGTCTATAGGACTTCATGTTTTCCAGTCAACCACACCACAAGGTAACAGAACTTTTCCATTTAAGCATAATCTGACCTGCAGGGGTTACACAGTATTATTAATAAACACACACCACAGACACGATACAGAATGGCTAATGTAAATGGTAAATTAAAAAATATGAATAAATACAAACTAAGAAATTTGCTCCTACAAGTATGACTTAAACACTGAGCCTTCAGGTTATCATTGTTGTGCAGATCAAATAAGTCTGAGAGAGGGAACAACTGGGGAGATCTAGAATGAACCGCCAAAAACTGAGTGAGGTGGAGAACATTAGTCAGTGGCTTATGAAGCAAAAGGCTTAAGTAAGTGAATATGTAAACAAAGTTGATGTACTTGCATGATTTTATTATTATTTTTTTGTGCAATTTTTTGTTTGTATCGACATGGTTTAATGCATTTATTGTCGGTTTAGATAAAAGCATCAGCTGCATAAATGACTTCATTGCTTCAGTTGGTTAGATTTAGGCATGAGGTCACGGTCAGAGCCAATCAGAGGCAGAAAAGGGATGGGCTTCACCTTCAAACCCCCCACCAGAAAAAAGCTTTTACTTTTGGTTCCATTGTTACTCATCAGAGGGTGGGTTGTGCCAGTGGAGAACATCAGCTGATTTACAAGAAATAAACATCACTGACTGTAACAGGGTCAGTGCAGCTGACTGTAGTAGGCTGTAGGTGACTCCCATCCCTATTCTGCCTCTGATTAGCTCTGATCATTACATCTCACTCCTCATGCCCAAACCTAACCAACCTGCTTTCTGTTTCGATTGCAGACCAACTCTGTTAAAAGAAACACACTGATCAGCTGTAACAATATAACCAGCTGGGCACCCTGTGGTCATGTTATACAGCCCCATAAACAACAAACTGTGATGCACTGTGTGTTCTGACACCTTTCTACCAGAACCTTCGCTCTCCATGTGCATCAATGAGCCTTGGCCACCCCTGACCCTGTCTGCGGTTCACCACTTTTCCTTCCTTGGACCACTTTTGATAGGTACTGACCACTGCAGGCCGGGAGACTCCACAAGAGCTGCAGTTATGGAGATGCACTGACCCAGTCGTCTAGACATCCCAATTTTGCCTTTGTCAAAGTCACTCAAATCCTCATGCTGCTCATTTTTCCTTCTTCACATCAACTTTGAGGACAAAATGTTCACTTGCTGCCTAAACCCCACCCACTGACTGGTGCTATGATAACCCCAGATAATCAGTTTTATTCACGTCACCTGTCAGCCCATAATGTTATGGCTGATCAGGGTTTCGAAGGTGAATCCCACCCTCACAGTGAAACCAAAAGTAAAAGCTCTTTTTGGGTTGGAAGGTGAAGCCCCTCCCTTTTCTGCCTCTGATTGACTCTGACCGTGACCTCATGCCTAAACTTAACCAACTGAAGCAATGAAGTCGATGAGGGGCGGATAGAGCAAAGTAGACATACCGGTATAAATATCCTTCATGCGCACACTAAAGAGTGGACAGAGAGAGAGAGAAAGACTGTGTTGCAGCTCATTCCAGTTTGAAATACAGCAGCAGAAGAAGAACAGGAAGATGGGTGGGTGTTTCTGTAATTTTCCTGTTTGTAGAATTTGACTTTAATGTGCTTGTGGTATAAACGCAACCTAAGAAAGAAACACTTATTCCACATAGTGTGTCCTACTACTTTTTTCATATTAATTTATATTAAATGTTTGTATGTGTCGAAGGTAATTTTACAGCACAAGCCTACGCTGTATATCTACTCTATTCTATTTTCCATTTGTAGTTTTGTGGGTCCTGTAGTGCCAGGAATGCTATAACATGTACATGTAACTGCAAAGTCCATTGAGGTCCTCAAGATTAATGTAATTAAAGTAATGTTGATTTGCAGGTGTGTTGATAAATAAAATAATCAAATATACTGAACATTTGCAGCTTATGGAAATATCATGAGAGTTGAAACTACCGGTGCTTCATGGCAAACATCTCAGCAGGACAGTCTGGGATACTCAGGTAATCTGCAGTATATAAACAGCAGCTGATTTTATCAAAAATAGTTGAAAAAGTAATCCTGTAGTTTTCAGGTATATGGATTGAAAGGGACATTTTTGCATTATGGCCATAATCCTGTTTGATTTCTCTCTCTAAAGGTGTGAAGGCATCACACACCATGGCACAGACTGATGCAGGCAGAATGGAAAAGTACAGGTCTAAAATCAACAAAGTAGGAGGAAGTTGTGGAATTGATCCCGCTCTCATTGCTGCCATCATTTCCAGAGAATCCAGGGCTGGAAATGCACTCACTAATGGCTGGGGAGATGGGGGTAATGCCTGGGGACTGATGCAGGTTGTAATAAATGCTACTGTTTTACTCATATCCTCTTAGTAGAGTGCCACATTACAATACCATAACACCAGTGTTCATCCCATTTTTGTAGGTTGATGTTAATCCAAATGGAGGTGGACACACTGCACAGGGTGCGTGGGACAGTGAGGAACACCTCAGGCAAGCGACCGGGATCTTGGTTAATTTTATCAAACGGATCCGCAACAAATTTCCTGGCTGGAACACAGAACAGCAGCTTAAAGGTTAATCTTACTGAACCAGTAGATTCGCTCTACGTTCTTAAGTCTCTTTGATTAGTTTTGTTCTCATTTGTATTTGTCTCTGCAGGAGGGATCGCAGCCTACAATATGGGGGATGGAAATGTCCATTCCTATGAACATGTGGATGGCTGCACAACAGGTGGAGACTACTCCAATGATGTTGTTGCCAGAGCTCAGTGGTACAAAACTAATAAAGGCTTTTAACAGCTGAAGGTGTCCACAACAACATTATTCAAAACATATCCTACAAATCATAAAGAAAACACTCTGTAATGTGTGCTGTGCGCCAAATAAACAGAATGCAAAGCAAAACCATAAATGATATCTGTATTTATTGGGCTCAGTGTGAACTCTTGTTGTGATCATCTGCAGAAAAGTAAGGAGGAAAGCATTCAGTGTGGCCTTGTGTACTGAACTGCACTACATCCAGTAGTACTACATCATTTACTTACGCTGCACTACATTCATTCTAGCTACTGGTTTCAGCTGCTTTCAAAGTGAGAGATGTAATGAAATCATGTAGTCACCAGTTTGTGTTGAAGCTACATTTCCACAATGTTAAATCTGTGTACTGTAGACCGAAAGTAAAAGTTCAGCTGCACATAAACCTTGGAGTTCACCCCTCACATGATCACAGATCTACAGAGAATATGGACAAATCATGTGGGGAAATAAATAGTATTTCCCTTGGCACAAATAATGGTGGACAACGCTGTAATTAACATGAGGGTAACTCAGAATAGTAAGTACTATTAGGATTTTTACATCTCAACAGGTACACAGTAGATCAAAGGTAACCATTACTTCCAAGTTGTAGGGTCCTGAAATAACTACATTACTGTGTTGGAAACCTGTGAGAAGAGTAAGAACAGTATCTTTCTTCCTTTTGTGTCCTGAAAGGCAGTTAAATGTAAAATATAAACAACTATAGCTTGAGATGGAAGATTTGACTTCATCATCACAACATGAAGTCAGTAGCTTAATGTCCTGAATGTGTTTCCGCTGGTAATAGGCTGAATATTGACTCGGTCGTGTCAGTCAGTGGTAGGTGCAGTGGTGCTCTTGGTGCTGCCACAGGTCCACTTTGTGCTGGAAGCCGTAGAGGCCACAAAATACATGAATGGTCCTATCTAAATGTTACACACTGGACCTAAATGGTAGGATCCCATGTTCCCTTAACTGACAGACTTCCTGAGAATAGTGTCACTCTGCCTACATTGCCGTTTCAGATTCTGAAAAATATTTAACAATTAGACATCCTACATAGTTAACGAGCATTTTTATCTCACAAAAAATAAAACAGCATAAATGGCAATTTATCTGATAATCCTACCTATAAAAAAATATTTTTAAATCAATCCATACTTTGGGCAACCCTGGTATAAATGCTTGTAAACACTAAAGACATTTGTTTGGGTCATAGACAATACTGTGAATTTAAAACTTGAACCTGGGTACCCTGGTGGTCATAAGAGATATACTCCACACATCAAACTGAGTTTGACAGTTTTACGACTTTGACCTTTGACCTAATGAGGGGTTAAAGTGGGTCATAAAATTCAAGTCAGGGAAGCACTGGTAGAATGTGCTGGAAATGAGGTGTGTAATAGACACACACACACACACACACACACACACACACACACAGGTTACAGAGCAAGTGTT